TGTGAGCAATGTTGATGGCGGCCGTATTATCGCAGTATAACCTCATGGAGTTCGTCTGATCAATACCTAGATCACTCAATAATAACTTGATCTATAAGAGCTCACACACCCCTTGTGCCATAGCTCTAAACTCAGCTTCTGTGCTGGACCTGGCAACCACATTCGGTTTCTTACTTCTCCAAATAACTAGGTTGCCTCCAACAAAGGTGCAATACCTTAAAGTCGATTTTCTATCAATTACTAATCCAACCTAGTCAACATCTGTATAGACTTCCACACGAAGATGATTATGCTTTGAAAAATAAAGACCCCTACCAGGAGCAGACTTTAAGTACTGCAAAATTCTTATGACAACCTCGAAGTGAATCTGATGAGGAGCATGTATAAACTGACTAACCACATTGACAACAACAGCAATATTAGGACGGGAGTGAGATAGATAGATGAGCTTACCCACTAAACACTGATAGCTCCCCCTATCAAAAGCTACTCCGCCTTCATCATCCCCCAACTTTTGATTGGGTTCCAATGGAGTGTCACAGGCCTTACAACCAAGCATCCCAGTTTTCTTCAATAGGTCAAGCACATACTTCCGCTATGAGATAAATATCCCGTCCTTAGAGCGAGCAAATTCTCAGAAAATAATTCAAGCTCCCCAAGTCTTTGATTTCAAACTCGCTAAATATTTCTTCAACAAAGGTATTTCCTCACTATCATCGCCTATAAGAACTATGTTATCCACATAAACAATGAGCGTTGTAGTCTTACCACGTGAGGAATATTTCACAAATAAGGTGTGATCTGTCTGACTTTGTTTGAAGCCATATTTAAGCATAGCCTGAGTGAATCTCTCAAACCAAACCCTTGGAAACTATTTGAGACCATATAGTGACTTCCTAAGTCGACATACTTTACCCTCTGTCTAATGATCCTCAAAATCAGGAGGACTGTCCATATATACCTCTTCTTCGAGGTCACCATGGAGAAAGGCATTCTTTACATCAAACTGATAAAGTGGTCAATCTAGATTAGCTACTAGAGAGAGAAGTACTCTGACTGAATTCATCTTAGTAAGGGGCGCAAAGGTCTCCTGATAGTCGACGCCATATGTCTGAGTAAACCCTTTTGCCACAAGGCTAGCCTTGTAACGTTCAATAGAACCATCCATTTTGTGTTTCACAGTATACACCCATTTGCATCCCACAAGTCGTTTGCCCTTAGATAATTCAGTCAATTCCCAAGTGACATTCTTCCTAAGTGCTTTCATTTCCTCAATCATGGCAAGTTTCCGCTCAGAGATAGCAAGAGCATCCTAAAAATGGTTATGAATGCTAACAAAGGAAATATTTGACACAAAAGCTCTATATGAGGATGACAAATGAGAGTAGGACACAAAATTTGAGATAGGATGTTGAGTATAAGATCTGACACCCTTTCTCCTAGCAATAGGAACATCAAGATCAATAGGAGTATCAAGATTAGTGGACTCAAGAGATTCAAAGTTACCTGGATGCTCATTAGAAGCAGGAGATGGCAGTGGGTGAGCAGAAGTGGTCTCTTGTATCCAGTCAACTTTCTGTCTGTCTTTGTCCTTGACATGAACTTGTCCTTGCTCTTCCCTATCCTTGGTGACATTGGGCTCTGTAGTCCCCATAAGAGATGGTGGTGCAAGAACAACTAGTTCCACCATCGGAATCACATGAATCACTTCATTCACAGGAATCACTTCACACCAAGGCTCCTCCTAAAGGGAGGACTGTGACACCGGAGAGTATAAGAAATAGGACTGAGACTCAAAAAAGGTGACATCCATAGACACAAACCACTTACAAGAAAGAGGGTTATAACACTTATACCATTTTTTAGTAGGAGAGTACCCAAGGAAAACACATTTAAGGAGCGAAAGTCCAACTTACCACAAGTAAGAGAGTGATTATGGACAAAGTAGACACAGCCAAATATTTTTGAAGAAATAGAAAACAATTACTCAGAACCTAGGAGGACTTGAAAGGGAGCTTGTTTTTGCAAGACCTGGGTAAGAAGACGATTAATAAGATGGGCAGCGGTGAGAACAGCGTCACCCCAGTAAGACCGAGGCACACTCATAGTAAAACACATGCACCAAGCCATGTCAAGAATATAATGATTCTTGCGTTCCGCCACCCCATTTTGTTGAGGGATATTGGTGCAAGAGGTCTAATGGATAATGTCATAGGTAGAAAAATATTACCATAACCTAGAATCTATGTATTCTCCCCATTATCATAATGGAAGATTTTGACAGCGGCCCCAAACTGAGTACAAATCATCTTATAAAAATTGCAGAATATCACTCTTGTCTTTCATGAGATACACTTAAGTAGTACGAGAGAAATCATCAATAAATGTAAACAACCATCAATGACCTTTCACAGACATAACACGAGATGGACCCCAGACATCAAAATGTATTAATGAAAAAGGAACTAAACTTTTATTAAAATTGGGAGTAAAAGAAACTCTATGTTGTTTTCCAAGTTGACAAGACTCACAAAGAAACTGAAACACATTATTGTTTGCAAAAACAGATAGAAATAAATGTTGAAGTAAATAAAAAGAAGGATGCTCAAGACGCTAATGCCACAGCCATAGATCATCTTTGGTAGTAGAACTCATGGTGGAAGAATGAGCAAGTTAGTCTGGTTGATTCAGAAAGTAGAGACTATTTTCTGCATTACTATTGCCAATCGTCCTCCTTGTGACAAGCTCCTAAAAAAGACAATGATCAGAAAAAAAGTCACACTATAATTCAAATCCTTTGTAATATGACTCACAAATAACAGGTTAACAGAAACATTGGGAACATAGAGAACAGAAGATAGTGGTATAGTAGGAGTGACATGGACTAAACCTTTCCTAGAAATAGAAAAAATAATACCATCTGTAATCCTAACTTTTTCCTGACCTGAAAAGGGCTTATAGGCAAAGAAAAGGCCAGAGGATCCAGACATATGATCTGAGGCACTAGAATCAATAATCCAAGGCAAAGACTTATGAGAAAGGAAAAAATGAGGAGAAGATGCTAAGTTACTTGAGCGGGCAAACGACGAGGAAGATGTACTGAGAGTAGTAGATGATCGGCGGTCCAGCAAGTGATGCAGAAGATCCTCAAGCTCATAAGTAGTCATGGAAGAGAGACCATCAGAAGTCTGGCCAACAGAAGCATAAGTAAAATCAAGTGTATCAACGGCACCAGACTAATGAGCCCGTGGATGAGAGCCACGTCCTCGAGATTGGCCTGACTGACCTCCTCTAAAACCAGACTAATCACCTCAACTCCCGGATGAAGGCCCATGAAGCTTCCAACACGTCTCACGAGTATGCTGCGGCTTGCGACAGTAATCACAAAATACAGGCTCCTTGGCGACAGACAGAGGGATAAGAATCAGGCTGAGGCCATCTCTAAGGGTAGACAGCAAGGCGGAGCGGTCAGTAGAGACAGGTGGCATCATAGCAGATCGGCAACTCTCCTTATTCTGTACATGGGCGAATGCCTCCTCAAGTGAAGGAAGAGTGTCCATACCCAGAACCCGACTCCGAACCAAATCATACTCCACATTGCGACCAGCCAAAAACTTGAAGACTTTTTCCTGTGCAATGAACTTCTCGTACCCAACTGAATCAGCAGTGCAAATAGGTTTATAGTTTTGCAGGTGATCAAGGCGTTTCCAGTCGTTGGTGAGAAAGGTAAAGTACTGAAGAACAGTCTACTCTCCCTGAACAAAGCTCTCAATAGAGCGGTGCAACTCAAATGCCTATGAGAAATTCCCTTTGCTTGAATAAGTAGTAGTCACAACCTCCCAAATATACTGTGTAGTATCCATAGATAGATAGCCCTCTCTAATCTCCGAGGCCATATAATGTATCAACCAACCCATAATTAGGGAGTTGGTGATCTCCCACTGATCATAACCCGGGTCCATGGTGCTAGGTTCCTGTATCCTGCCATTAACATATCCCATTTTTCCTTTGCTCTTCAAAAAAATAGTCAAACTCTGCGACCACGTTAGATAGTTCTGACCATTGAATAGAGAGGTGGTGATTTTAAGACTAGTGTTGGACTTATCAGTCATAGTAGTAAGTATAATGGAACTCTCACTCCTAGGTGTCTGAGAAATAGTGGACCCACGGGTAGAATCGGCCATGGATACTATACTACCTAACCCTCAACAGAAAAACTAGTGCCAATCACAAACCCGGAAGATGATGGAGGAATAGTAAGCACGATGACCACTAAGAATATGAAAGAATTAAACTCATAAAAATAAAAAAAATAAAAAATTATTTTTATTTATTATTATTATTATTATTATTTTTAGAGAATAAGAAAAGAAAAAATAACAGAGCTCAAACATTCATCTCAGAGTCACGACAGAAACAGTCAAAGCAAAAGGTCAAACACACACGTAGACGACACAGCAAAGGAAGACAAAGGAAGCTAGAATGCCTTAGGGCTATCAGCAAGCCAAGACGACACAACCACAGTGGTCGGCAAGGCAAGTCGACACAGCCACAGTGGTCTGTGAAGCAAGAAAGCCTGTCAGCAAAGACCAACAGAAGTCTGGGCACCTACGACAATGATCAAAGGGGTCGTAGGCCAAAAGGCCTGTTGGCAGGGACCAACAAGAGACTTGGGCACCTACGACGACTTAGGCTGCCTCCGACAGGTGCAATCAAACCTGGTTTAGGGTGGGAGCTTTGTGGTGGCTGTGTGGTGTACGGATTTAGGGTTTAGGGTTGTGGCTCTGATAGCATGTTAATTTTAAAAAATACCCATTTTAGGGAATGATTGTGATATCATCCCCTTTTTATATTAATAAAGATTAATTATTACAAAAAAGCCTTGAGGCATAGAATAATTACAATTGAATAAAAAACCCAACTAATAATATTCTAACAAAATCTTTATATGATGCAAGGAATATTTGTAACATAATCAGAAGATGGGATGGGAATGCATGAGCACAACCAAAATTGGTTCGGTAATTACCCACAAGAAAGACTGCAATTCTGTTATCAAGTTCATTGTTGACCAAAAACAAAACAAAAATCTAATTTTGGTTTTATTACATGGTGATCAGTTCAGGAGATGCATATATCAATCTCAGGATCCTACAAACATTGATCTCAGATCATTGTGATGTCGAGAATGCAATGTTACGGGTACATGTTTCATCGATCATTCTAGAGAACAAATACACGCACACACACGTCTAAATACAAAATTTCACATAAATGAAGAAGGTGCTGTCTATTTTCCACATTGGTTCCATTACAGAATCACTTGTTGGAAAGCATCTGATCAATCTCACCATTCTGGTTGTACATAGCAACAATTTTCTTTGCATATGAAGGCATGTGCCTATCAGCTCTGCATTCATCAAAACTTCAAGACAATTAGAAGCTACTTGATGCTCTAGCTCTTCTGATAAGCAATATGATGCCCTAACTTCATCAAATGCCTTTTTTTTTTTCTTTTATTTATTTTCTTAAATGACGTGACACAAATGGGATACCATAACAAATAAATATATTTCTATCTGTATATAAAAATAATTATTATTTCTTCATTTTTTTTACATTACAAATACATTTATATTTTATTATATAAAAAATAAGAAATCATTATCCACATTCTACATATTGGAAAAAAAAGTGTGAAAAAAAAAAGAAAAAAGAAAAAAAAGTCCTAATATCCATTTTAGAAAGCTCAGTTGAAACCAATTGGAAGTTTTGCATTTTCAAATTACTAAAATTAAAAGTCTAAAGGATAAAGGATTCATAAGTCCACATTATTTTTATTTCATCATTGGATCTAAAATTATTTTCTTCAAAATTTTAATGTGTTTCTTCTATGTCTAAGCGATGGATGCATGTATTCCCAAATATCTATGGTGTGCTCGATTCTTTTTCTTTTTTTCTTTTTTTTTAAAAAAATTTAACAGGATACGGTTGTACACGTGTTGGGAAATGTTTGATACTTGTTTCATAGGAACACAATACTCTCTTAGAAGGGTCAGTGCATCTTAATTTAACATAGAACATACCTTTGTTTTCCCCATGTACGATTTACATACAAATAGTTTCGGATGGTATGATAATCGAGCGAATAACGAGCAAATTCTAGACCCTTCGGACCAATCTGAACCAAAAGAACCAAATTTAAATGGAAGCTATTTACCATCTTCTGTTATCACCAATGACACACCAAAAAGAATACTAACCAAGTTTAGAATACTTACCAAGTTTAGAATAAATGCTATTAGGTTCCCAATGAACTTTGGGGCAGGCTGAGCAGGACCCTTCCCTGAAAAAACATAGAAATTATAACATATTAGAAAATTTTACATTTTGCGTAGAGTTCACTGGTCACATAGAAAAGTACATCGAAAGGAAAATAATTCTTGTGCATATAATTTTTGAATAGAAAATCATGACCATTTATAAATGTGCACCTCATTGAGATCAAGATAACGAGAAATTAATATGTGGAAACAATTTTGTACATTCTGACTCTTCCCCGTTATTTTAGACAACTGAGATTTTTTTTGTTATTCTCAGATCACAAAGTTTATGCTTTCTCCATGCACTCATGTAGTTGTTTATTATTCCTCCAATGTTTCAGCACCAGTTTTTTCGTATCAAATGTGTAGGAATGGAATTTATTTTGTTCATGGCCGCTGATTCATTCACAATTACTATCAACCCATCCTATCTTTATTGGGATCGTACCCCCTTGGAGAAATGAAAAGCACATAAAGCACACACATTTATGTAAATTCACGAGTGAACACTGTCAAGAAGAATTCACTATGGAGAAGATGATATAAGATGGCTGCTCTCTTTCAAAAAAACCTAAATCCTTTTACACAAACGAGTTCTCTCTTCTAAAACCACAATTCACCCTTATGTAGGTCCAAATATAAAGGGACAAAACCCTACAAAAATTTGGGCTAGGCGTGCTGCCTCTGAACCTCCACTAAGGTAAAGAGACCCAACAATAGGCTTGAGAAACTGCCCATGCCACTTTTTTAGGGCCATGAAGATGACTCAAAATTCAAGACATTATCCACTATGAGGGGATCAAATCCATGTACTCACAATTAGGAAAGGAGAATAAAAGCCATAAAACTAAAGATACGAGGCTCAAGGAAAAACATTTTCTAAAAAGAGCTACACTGAAGACACCACTACGTACCGAACTTAGCATTATCATCTGCCTTAACTGTCTCGATAACAAAAGCACGCCGATCACCCTAAAAAAGATAAAAAAAACAATAATTTAGTTACTCTACTACAGAATGTTTCGTAGCAAAATATATATATATATATATATATGACAAAGTTAAGAATATTACGCCACTAGTTGTTGGAGTAATCTCCAATAGGTCTTCAACCAGACTCAGCATTTCTCTTCCTCGTTCATTTCTGCCAGTTCAATGGGCAAAAACAAATTAAAACAATAAATTCTTCCAATCTCAGAATGAATATAACATGAGATAAAGGTAAGCACAAGTGCAACAAACAAGAAAGCAACAGCACAAAATTAAATATAATCTCTAAATGAGCACTTGTTTACCTGACAGTAACATACTGTGGATGTTGTGTCATGCTGATTCCACCATATTTTGGCACGCCCATGTATCCCACTACCAAATCCTGAATTTATCAAGAGTCCAGACGCATAAGAAAGCATCATACAACACTAGAATTTTTTATTATGTGAATGTAAAAGTACAGTGGTGACACAGATTAAAGGTATCATGCAGGATTTATGTGTGTGTCGGTGGAGCATGGCTGCCTGTGCGAGATAAAGAGATTACAAAAATCCCAAGAAAATAGCATGGTGAAAATTAATATGAACTAACTAGAAAGCCTATCTGAAAAATCTTAAGGCAAGCAAAAATGACCAAGGATACAAACTTTTCTAGGTCTTTTGAAGATATAAAAATCACACCAAGATCAGGGTTTTTAGACAATTTTCAAGAAGGAAATTGTTTCTTGGGAGGGTGTTGGATAGTTTGATGTACAATGTCAGATCCAATTTCTAATAGCTTAACCTTTTGGGACTGGTGGTGCTCTAATATGGTATATGGTACAAGGGCTTTGGTTCTATGAGGACTTGAATTCAAATCTCCCCATTTGCATTTGGTTCCCATTTGGTATGTTTGTTTATTTGTCTCTCCACGTGCAATACGCGGGTGCATGCAAAGGAGGGTGTTATAGAATTTGATATACAGTGTTGGACCATTTTCTAATGAGTAATGCTAAAGACCATGAAAAAAATATCATGAAAATGATCATAAAGATTCTCCACCTTTGGATTACACATACAATAAAACACTACACAATAATTGAAGAAGGAAAAAATTTCATGATGCATTTCATGATATTTTTTTCATGATCCCTAGTATTATTCTTTTCTAATAGCTTAAGTTTTTGAGACAATTGGCAATCTATACTTGATTGAACTTTTTCAGTGACTTGATGACAGACAAGAAAACTAGGGTAGTGTTTGGTAGAACTTTCTAAATATGATTTGAGAATAGGAGTTGTATTTTGAGTTTGTGAGTTTTGGAATTATGATTTGAGTGTGAAAAATTTGTTTGGTGAAAGAGTTTTGAATTGAGTAGGAAATTTTTGATGTGACATATGATATTTGATACAAAAACTTACAGCTCATAACCAAACACACAATTTAAAATTCTATTAAAGCTCATAAAAAAATTTTAAAAATTCGAAAAATATTTTTTGTTGAATATATAAAAATTAACATGTGTCAATTGCAAGCAAAGTATATATATATATATATATATTTGTTTCACAATTCGTGGTGATGGAAATATCAACTTGAAACAATTCATTCTGAGATTGGAAATATTTATCAGTGAAACAATTGAAACAATTCATGCTGATAAATAAACAAGTGAAACAATTGAAACAATTCATGCTGATAAATAAACAAGTGAAACAATTCATCAACTTGAAACAATTCATTCTGAGATTGGAAATATTTGTCAGTGAAACAATTGAAACAATTCATGCTGATAAATTAACAAGTGAAACAATTCATGGAGGACCGGTGGGACGTCGGATGACCGGTTAGCCCAAATTTTCCTGCCTTCAACCGAGTTTTCAAAAGTGAGCGTGGAATTAATTTTTGAAAGCTGCAAACAAACACCACGTGAGAACCAATGATTGGAACTAAAGTTCTAGTCATCCACCAAACAGAGCCTAGGTGTTTTCTTCCTTGCCAACAGTGCATAAAGCTCAATAATTTTCAGAACCAGAGTACAATATTGAAATTACCGAACGTTGGGCCAGTACTGTAAACTAAATATCAGTAATCATATTGCAATACTAATAAACACCTTCAAGTGAAGCAAAGCCAAGCTTTTGGAACTAGAAAGAATATAAAACATATAATTCAGCCACACACTACCCCAAAAAAAAAAAAAAATCATCCAAGTAAACAAGAAAAATAACATAACTCCGTTGAAGTCTTTGAGATGACATAGTTTTTCAGATAAAGAAAAAACTACTCACCGCTAATGCATTTGTGTAGTCAAAACAGCTGTAGAGAAGAAAAAAAGAGAAGAAGAATAACATTCAGACAACTTTAATGAAAAAGAGCAGAAAGAATATAAGAAAACAATTTCTTGTGCATATAGATTATCATTTAACAAATTTATTGTCAGCCATAAGTTCAAACATTATAACACAAATAACATTCCAAACGGGGAAGGCAATAATCAAAGTAAATCAGCATCTCACAATCTGTGAGTAGAATTTCTTGTAACAGTAGAAGAAGTCTAATAGCCTATAAATATGCATTTAATTTTTCTAAGCCTCGTTTGGGAACATGCTATTTTAGTAACTTTTTAGCTTTTTATGAAAAGATGTGCAAAAAAATAGAGAGAGTGATGTGACAACTTGTAGTAACTTTTTGGCTTTTCGACTAAAATGTATAGTTGACAAACGAGGGAGTTAGGGAACCCAACTACTATTCTCTGAACAATATTTATTGCCTAGAACAATCAACTTTTCAGCCCCAAAATGATAACAAATCAAGCCTAAATAAACCTATAGCCTTCAATTTAACCATCAAAACCTTAAATTACTCATCATCCAATACTTCAAATACCCTCAAATCTGAAAATCCAGCAAGCTGGCAATTTTGAAATCAAACTAATTTAGACTCTTTCCTTCTATAAACCTCAGAAATTATCTTCTACATTTTAAAACCATTACACTAAAATCTATTCCTATACTAAAACCACCACAAACCATTTGTAGGCAACTTTATCATTAGTTTCCAAGATTTGTCCTATATCAATAGTCAACGATCATATTGTGAAGGCTAACCTCATCTCACACTAGAATTTGTTAAGTGCCATGGTTTTTGTTTAAACTCTCTTGCATTAGGTTTATGAATAGTGCATTTAATACCATGATGATTGGCAAAATAAATCTGAATGTGTGTGTATGCCGATTGAGAGGGGAGAGATGCAGTACACTGCTTTTCCCCATTCATGGCTTTTTAATCTTGTTGAACAACTTATTCAATTAAGATTTTATTTATTATCCATATCATTTAAATTTCAGTTACAATCCTGTCTTTTAGTCATCCTTGTCATCACTTTTTGCAGAGTTCATTTAAAATGAGCACATACATGTGAAATTTGTAACCCTATCAAGGTTGCCAAGTCTCTAAAAAGAAGTTTTCCATTCTTTGGCCTAAAAAGTTCTAAACTGAATCTTCAACCATTTTTTGTTAGAATTTACCTTCACCTACACCACTACCACCTCACCTACTCCACTAAACCTAACCCACTACACCACTACCACCTCCACTTCACCTACAGGTGTTTTCTTCCTTGCCAACAGTGCATAAAGCTCAATAATTTTCAGAACCAGAGTACAATATTGAAATTACCGAACGTTGGGCCAGTACTGTAAACTAAATATCAGTAATCATATTGCAATACTAATAAACACCTTCAAGTGAAGCAAAGCCAAGCTTTTGGAACTAGAAAGAATATAAAACATATAATTCAGCCACACACTACCATAAAAAAAAAAAAAAATCATCCAAGTAAACAAGAAAAATAACATAACTCCGTTGAAGTCTTTGAGATGACATAGTTTTTCAGATAAAGAAAAAACTACTCACCGCTAATGCATTTGTGTAGTCAAAACAGCTGTAGAGAAGAAAAAAAGAGAAGAAGAATAACATTCAGACAACTTTAATGAAAAAGAGCAGAAAGAATATAAGAAAACAATTTCTTGTGCATATAGATTATCATTTAACAAATTTATTGTCAGCCATAAGTTCAAACATTATAACACAAATAACATTCCAAAAGGGGAAGGCAATAATCAAAGTAAATCAGCATCTCACAATCTGTGAGTAGAATTTCTTGTAACAGTAGAAGAAGTCTAATAGCCTATAAATATGCATTTAATTTTTCTAAGCCTCGTTTGGGAACATGCTATTTTAGTAACTTTTTAGCTTTTTATGAAAAGATGTGCAAAAAAATAGAGAGAGTGATGTGACAACTTGTAGTAACTTTTTGGCTTTTCGACTAAAATGTATAGTTGACAAACGAGGGAGTTAGGGAACCCAACTACTATTCTCCGAACAATATTTATTGCCTAGAACAATCAACTTTTCAGCCCCAAAATGATAACAAATCAAGCCGAAATAAACCTTAAACCTGTTCATTGTCCCCTATCTATAGCCTTCAATTTAACCATCAAAACCTTAAATTACTCATCATCCAATACTTCAAATACCCTCAAATCTGAAAATCCAGCAAGCTGGCAATTTTGAAATCAAACTAATTTAGACTCTTTCCTTCTATAAACCTCAGAAATTATCTTCTACATTTTAAAACCATTACACTAAAATCTATTCCTATACTAAACCCACCACAAACCATTTGTAGGCAACTTTATCATTAGTTTCCAAGATTTGTCCTATATCAATAGTCAACGATCATATTGTGAAGGCTAACCTCATCTCACACTAGAATTTGTTAAGTGCCATGGTTTTTGTTTAAACTCTCTTGCATTAGGTTTATGAATAGTGCATTTAATACCATGATGATTGGCAAAATGAATCTGAATGTGTGTGTATGCCGATTGAGAGGGGAGAGATGCAGTACACTGCTTTTCCCCATTCATGGCTTTTTAATCTTGTTGAACATCTTATTCAAATAAGATTTTATTTATTATCCATATCATTTAAATTTCAGTTACAATCCTGTCTTTTAGTCATCCTTGTCATCACTTTTTCCAGAGTTCATTTAAAATGAGCACATACATGTGAAATTTGTAACCCTGTCAAGGTTGCCAAGTCTCTAAAAAGAAGTTTTCCATTCTTTGGCCTAAAAAGTTCTAAACTGAATCTTCAACCATTTTTTATTAAATCATCCTTCACACACCACTACCACCTCACCTACTCCACTAAACCTAACCCACTACACCACTACCACCTCCACTTCACCTACTACACCTATATCTCCTATATAAGGAGCCTCTCACATTTGTACAAAATACAAAATTAATCAATCAATAATACATGATTTTTAACATTTTTTATTAAATCATCCTTCACCACAACTCTCTAATTCTCACTGTTAATGGATTTAAAAATGAGTAGGTGATTTATACATGGCAATGGAAATATCAGCTGCTCAGAAATTTAGCTAAGATGGTTACGCTGGATAGAACATTTCCCAATTCATCTCAATCTCAGAAAATGATGATAAGGAAATTGATATCTGATTTACTTTTGAAGACTGCCAGACAGTAGATAAATAAAGATTAATAGATTACCTGTAGCAAGATGGTGCGATCACATCAACTAAATCATTTGCTGGTAGAGAGAAATAGGGAACCTGCTTTTGTTAAATTTGAAGTCAGATGAAGCAGCATTCTAGCAAGAGTCAAAGCTAAATGGAAAGTTGGTGAACCATGTTACCTCTTCAATATGGCCATCCAAATGCTTCAGATGGACCTATTAATTGAAAGAATCTAAAAATATCACACACTAAAACATATACTTAAGAATGCACATATATATCATTCTTTTGAACATTAGATGTCAAATAGTCAATAGTTTTTTAATTTTTAATAAAACCTCACAAAGTAAATTTCACCATGCAAATTATCAGCAGCTAGGAAATAGTATACAAGAAAAACAAAACAAAACTCCAAAAAAGGGGTCATACAGACAATCGAACCTTGTAATCTTGCATAAACTCATAATGAAGAACTGTTTCTGGTTCACTGCTGGCAGCATTCAGAAACTTATCTAGCCCTTCTCGAGTTCCATTATCCACTAAAGGAGGGGGGGGGGGAAGAGATGTATTAGTACTGAATACTGATCCTGATTGTGTAAGTCTAAAATAAACTATACATCGCCCATTCATGGTAAATATTTTGAGCAAAATAATTTCTCTTTTTTTCCCCTTTTGATGAGTCCATCTGTTGATTAGAAATTTAATCTGACATCAAAAGTGCATCATTTTTGTCCCCACATCCACTATTTGAATAGTGGCATCAACTAAGATCATAAGGTAAACTAGCTTGATAACCCAATTTCCATGGAGGCAAGACTATTAATAAGAGTTCAAATTTTCACATAAATAAATGGAATTTCAAATTCTCCAATTAAATGAATAATTTGTTCTCTAAAATTTAAATAGAGGATAATAAAAAACTAAAAAGAAATAACAACTTTTCATGTAGTTCATCATTTAATCCCATCACTGGATTGGATGTTCTTCCCATGCTTATCACACATGCCAAAAATGAAGTTGATGTAAGATAAAACTATTTGATAAATATCACACACTGAATTAGGGTGTCATCATTCTAAATATGTAGTTAAGAGAAATATATATTTGTGGTTTGGAAATTTGTCAATTTGCAATCAACCTAATATTAGGGATGCATGACAAGAAAAACAAAATCATCTTTAAAATAAATAAATAAATAAAACTAGATATGATTGTCAGTTGCATGTCCAATTAGACATACAGACACATATCCCATATACTTATCCAAGTTCTGGTTTGGACACCAGTAGTTCGCACACTTAGAACAGTCCATGCAACATAAATCCCAACTAATTTTATGGGAACCACTTCCATCCTAATGTCCATGTTTTATATGGGAACCAAAATAGTTTATAGCATTCAATCTAGCAGCTGGAATACTGTACACTCAACAATGTTAAAAAAATAAAGAACAGGATATAAAGATTTAGTTACCGCAATTTGTGCCTAACACATAAAGCTTGTCCAAATTCAAATGGTGCTCCACAGATCTTAATGCTGAACATCAAGAAATTACCCTGCATTAGAATTGTACAAGTCACAACAAATAAAAGAATTAAAGATAGTTATGCTAAATCACAACAAAAGCCATACCCTGCACTTGGCAACCGACACCACAAAAAAGGAGACGCTTTACACCTGCCGCCTGTTGCACATATAAAATGAGAATTTACCTCTTTAAGATTTTCAATAAGCACATAAATCTATAAACTTAAAGTGTTGACTCTCACAATCACAAACTAAGCTAGAGATGGACAGGTTAGAAACATATCCTTTCTATAAATGATGAAAAAAAAAGAGTAATGACGTGTGAATTCTTTTTTCTTTCTTTACCTTTCATTTCGTTTTATTTATTTGTTTTTAAATTAAGTTATCCATGAACAGGGATTGAGCAAAGACCTCCCTAATAACATGAAGAAATCTCCTCAGACCTACACGTCAACTATCTATTTAACTAATAATACTTATCGAGTCTGTTTTGCAAGAGATATTTGACTTCTTTAGTGCCCTTGCAAATGGGAGGAAGCTCAACCTGGGAAGAGTCACTCCAATGACCCAATCTATGCATAAAAAACCACTCAGATCCAAATAAAATAAAAATATATAATTCTTGAGTATATATAGATAAATAAATAAATACAAAGAACAGGCACCCACTTAACATTACCCAAACAAGGAAGCACCCCTTTCTTCAAAATGACAATTTTGGGAGGGGTTAAGAGTGTGTGTTGGGGGGGGCGCGTCCAGTCTGAATTAATCCAAGGAAGAGATCCTTGTATATAAAGTCCACAAAGAAGCAAAGGTTAACATGTGATCAAGGAATTTTCCAAGAGAAATTTTTTCCTCAAATTATCCTCTTGTTCCTCTCATCCACACTGCCCATGTACGAGGTAAACACGCGCTTTCTTTGATTTAATTGATTCTCTTGGCATTCTTTTGTTTATTTCCTTATTGGAGGAATTTGTTTCCTCCCTACAATCATGTTTCCTTGTCCTATTCATAAATAAATAAATAAAAGATGTTTCAATTCAAACTGCCCCATTTATGATTTGTGTGGTTTGCTTAGATGGGTAGGCAACGAAAGGTTCCCCTGCCCTATGTGTCTTGACAATTTTAACTCAATCAAGCTCATGTTCAACTGTTCATAACATTACAACTGAGTGACCAACTGCACGAGGGTCCCGCTAAAGTGAGGTCTGGAGAGGGAAAGATGTACGCAGCCTTAACCCCCATTTCTGGAGAGGCATTTTCATGACTCTAACTTGCGCCACCATGGATGCTAACCACAAGCCTTACCATTGGGCCCAGCCGCCCTTTCTGTTCGTAACATTACAACTACTTTTACAATTACTTTCATCTTAACTGCTGGATAAATAAAATGGTAAAAATAAAAGAGTAAGGGAAAGTAGAGTGGAACATTTATGTACTGATAAAAAAGTGATAGAAAGCACCTCAACTAAGGCAAGAGTATTTAGGTTAGGAGATAATGTTGGCTTAACACCTTTAGCTGCTAGAACTTCTTCTGGTGTCCTAGTAAAAATAGAAAAGTATTAGATCTAAAGGGGAAATAAGTCATGGAAAAAAGATTTTAAAAAAAGAAAACCTTAGTCAAATTATGCAAGCATCTTGAGCATTTAAGATTAGAAATAACCTGGCCAACACAGGTCTTGGTTTGAATCTATCCTCTGGATCACTGAAATGGATAAAATAAAAGGCCAAGATGTTAAAACTTGAAGAATTGAAGCATGAAAAATAGCTTCATAAGTCAATGAAGCCTGTCCATAATTCAAAATCACTACCTCTGTACACAAATGACAGCTTCTACCATGCCTGCTTTCAGCATTTCAATTGCAATTGTTGTGACTATCCCTGTCCACTGAGCTCCTACCAATAAGTAAATTCATGCAGGCAAATAAATCAAGCTGAAATATGACAATTTCACCACGAGATTGTGCCCTACATATAAGTATTAGTTGCAATGGGAAGCAATTCAGGTGACAATATGTAGTCATGAAAGGTTTCAATGAAATCCAACTGCAAAAATGCAATTACAGTTATTTGCTTTGAAGAGAAATGTTAGTAATTATAGGGTTCTTCTAATAAAGATTTACGAAAAGTGGAATTCGTCGTCATGACCATTAAATAGTGAATTCAAAAAACAATTAATATATTAATGTTGGTATTTTTGTATAAAAAAATAGAACTAAGGTTGTTTTCCTAATAATAATGTAATTTTACAGTTGATAGTAACAGAAGATTTAAAGCGTTAACAGTATTTCAATTATTTGAAATTCCATAAGAAGGGAGCTAACGGTAGAGAGTATAAAATCTGAGGTGAGCTCAAAATAATTTCCAAAGCCATGTGAGAGATTACAACCACAACTAAAATTATTAGAAAGGTTTTATAACTCATTCAATACTTGCAAAATGAAATGAAAACTACCATATTTATTGGAGATATGAACAGAGAGCAAGTTGATAAGCAGAAAGCATAAATTAAAGGCGCTCCTACCCTAGCTTTAAGATAATTAGCTTTTTCCAACTTATTTATGCTATTTTTACCTAACAAGCTATAATCAAAAGTTGTACAAAGCACTCTGGCACATACTTCCAAAATGAAAAAAGCTATACGTAACCTTTATAAGCTGTACCAAACAGCCCCATTGTATTGCGGTGAGCTAGATATGCCAATCATTGTTGTCTACATAAAGTTTACAGTTTAACAGGATTGGCAGATTAAGAAACTTTCATTCCATTGTCATTGTTAATTTATAAAAATAAAAGGGTCACTTATTCATGCCACAGTCAAAGAAAAGGTTCCATTATTGTTTTTCTACATGGTATGAAACTAGCCAATGGGATCTAAACTTTAACTTCTTTTAATGTCCAGCCAATGCTTATATTTTTACTATTTCTCTTCATTTTCTCACCTTTCCAATATTTCCTTCCCCATATTTTTTTTTTTAAAAAAAAAAAGAGAAAAAAAGAAAAAGAAAAAAACCCTTCAATCCCTTTTAAATTATGAAAACCTTATCGTTGTGAAGCCTTCACACGCAGCTGAAGTAAACAATTTTGGAAAGGGACCAATGAAGAAACTTGAGTAAAGTAAACATCAAATACTCATAAAACTTATTCACCAATTTATGAAAATTATACAACAATAAGAAAAAAAACAAAGTCAATATGATAAAAGCATTAAAAATGGAATGTCACAAATAATAATTAATGTTAAATTCAAGGGCAAATTACAAACACCCCTCGAGGTTTGGTAAAAATACAGATTCCCCTGAGGTTTGAGAAATTACAAATTACCCCTGAGTGTCAAATTTTCATAACAAATTAGGAAAAATTAGGGGGGAATCTGTATGAAAATAAAAACTTCAGGGGACAATTTGTCATGAAAATATAAACCTCAGGGGACGGGATGTAATTTCTCAAACCTCAAAGGAAAATCTGTATTTTCACCAAATCTCGAGGGGGTGTTTGTAATTTGCCCTAAATTCAATAAGCTTACCTTCAACAGGCTTACTTTTACGAGCATATAGTAGCTTCTCATAGACCCCCAAGTACACCTCATCTAAGGAATCTTCTTTCCTCCCTCGGCCATGGACCACAGATTCGAGGCCCTCAAAGAAAGAAACAGGAAATAACTAAGCACACAGTTCCATAAACATAAAAAAGAGGATGTAACCCATTAAATAATCGGGTTTGCATAAATCATGGAAGTCAGCTGTCTAGCTATGAGGAAAAAAAGCCTGCAAATTAAAATGTTACCATTTATAGAAAAATTAAAAAAACAAAAACTAATCAGCGTGTTTGGTTTCAACTTTCTGAATTAAGTTTTTTAAAAATTGAGTTTTTTGTCTTTCATTTTTTTGTTTTTAGTGAATATTTTTTAAATTTTTAGCATTTTTTTTTTACTTTATTAGATGCACCTTACTTAGATGTATCTAAAATGTAAAATATTTGTGAAAAAATATTTTAAAAAATTAATAAATACACAAAAATACGAAAAATATACTGATTTTTGTATTGTTTGTATTTTTTATATTTAGTGAATTTTTTGAAGATTTTTTTCACAAAAATTATACTTTTTAAGTGTATTTATGTTAGGTGTGTCTAAAGATTAAAAAAATTGCTTAAAATATTAAAAAAATTCAATAAAAACAAAAAAATATGGAAAACAAGAAAGTAGAATTTTCTGAAAAGTATTTTCAAAAAACTAAAACCAAACAAAGTGAATGTTGTTTGTATTACCACGTAACAAGGCATCATTGTCTGCATTACTAGCATGAGAATTTTACATTGTTCGAATGGAATGTCACCAAATAAGTCATAATGCAAATTTTAGAATTGATTAATTAAGGGAGATAATGGTGGTCTTCACACAATGGACCACTGAACTTGTGGATGTCAGATTGAAATAAAATAATTCAAGTGAGTTCAACATAGCACTTTGAATGAGTCCTTGTATTTAATAGAATTTTAAATGAGTCTTCAACGTATAATGGGTAGAACTGTTTCTTAGAACTCTAAATTTGAGGGACTGCATCCTAGCGCAAAAGAAGAAAAAACAAGAAACGGGAAACGGGAAAAGAATGGCTCAAAGTTAGGAGCTAGTTCTCAACCAACCTCCTACTCCTGAGCCAAAGCCCGCCCTCCTACTTTCTGTAGAAGAAGAAAAAGACCTTCTAACAAAAAGGAAGCGGGTAAGGGCAGAGCTCTGTGCACTCCTTCAGATCGGCTATAGCAAGAGGGCCTGACCTTCTAAGGTAGCCGATGAGCTCATCCATAATCTTGGCATTGATAATGAAACGGATCCCATCTTCTTAGAAAGAGGTCTCTAATTTCTCATCTGAGCTGTCTAATGAGCAGGGAGGAAGTATATGCCCAAAGAAGATTGCAAATATCCAACTACTCCAGGAATCAAAATATTTTCTAATACCATTTTTGTGATGGCCTCAATTTTTTACAATATTTCTATTTCATTCTAAAATAGCTTCATCCTTAAGGACATGTCTGTTAGTGTAGATTCTAGGCACATATAAAATAATTACATTTGCACCCTAAAATGAAAGAATTGGAGAACAAGAATACCTAGTAACACTAGCGATTTCAATGAACATCTCTTTTCTTTCCTTTTCTTTTTGACACTATTAAAATGAACATTCAAACTATTCCTACCTTTTTACACATGCTCTTAAGTTTTCTAAAATTGATGCCATTATTATCTTTACTAACATTTCATGGAATTTTTCCATGGTTTGATATAAATATCCATAAAGTATTAAATAAAATTTTCCATATCCATATATCAGTAATTTGGGATTTGCAATATATCCAGTTTACAGATATTTCATTCCTTGATTGTAGTTAATGGATTTGGAATCTTCCTAATACAGTAGATAATTGAAACATGATTGTCAAATTCTAAGACTGTGTTTGGTTCATAGATTTGGAAAGAGATTTAGAAAGGGAAAGTGAAAAGGTGTGTGTGTAAAGTATAAGTGAGATATAGTTATATTTCATTCACATTTCACCCCACTTTTCCCTTTCTCTTTTCAAATCCCTATCCAAATCCTTGAACCAAACATAGCATAAATCAAAAAGTAATTGGAGAAATAGCAGATACTCACTTCAATTCTAGACATGCCATCTCCTAAGAAAGCACAAGCATTCTTCACATGGGCTATATAATAAGTATCACACAACCCACATTGACTGCCAAAAAAAAAAAAAACCAACAAAATTCAACACCATAATCAGACATAATCCCACTAAGACTACTAAAATTTATTATAAATTTTCAACATTGAAACTCAAAAACAAGAAGAAAATGATACAGATATAAATTTGAAAAAATAAAACAGAAATGGGTTTGGGAAAAAAATCGTAGTAGTGGAGTATGAACCTGCAGTGGTCCTTGGCTGGATAGGTTCCTCCAGGAGGAATGGGTCTGGACCGTTTTCTCCAATCATCTCTTAGCTTCACTGAATTTGGGTTCGAGTTTGCTTCTTTACCCATCAAACCAACAACAAAAAAACTTTAAATTTCTTTTGTATATATATATATATATATAGAGAGAGAGAGAGAGAGAGAGAGGAATATGGGTTTTCTGGAATTACCTTTGGAAGAAGAAGAAGAAGAAGAAGAAGAAGAAGAAGAGACAATAGATACGGTGAAGGGTAGAGAAGAGAGCTTGGCTGCACTGGTAATAGTCATAGCCATGGCTACAACGACAAACAGAGACCCAAAAAATGCAAGAGTTGTGAGCCTCATATATCTCAAGGGTGAAAACGAACAATCATTCAACGATGTCGTTTAACTTCGCTTACATATCATTATTTTCCATCATATCAACGGTCTTTAAAATTTCAATTGTGAAGGGGTCTCGAATTCAGGGCTCGAATTTGGCTCGAATTTGAGGATAGAGGCCTCGAATTCGAGGCCTCGAATTTGGCTCGAATCCCAGCAGCCCCCAAAACGACGTCGTTTTGGGGTTTTTTTGGTGTTTTTGTTTTTTTTTTTCTTTTCTTCTTCCTCGTTCGAACAGAACCAGAGGGGAGGGGAAGAAGAGACCAGGGGGGAGGGGAGGGGAAGAAGAGAGAGGGGGGGAGGGGAGGGGAAGAAGAGAGAGAGGAAGGGAAAAGAAGAGGGAGCCGCCGGTGGGCCGGACTGGAGGGGGCCATAATCACCGGGGGAGGAGGAGGAGGAGGCGGAGGCGGGCCGGAGGCGGAGGCGAGGCGACGATCGGACGGCTGGCGAGCTCGACAACCTGCGACGGCGAGTCTTCGGCGAATCCGGACCCCCTCCCCTCCCCTCCCCTCTGGTTCTGCGAAGAAGAAGAAGAAGAAGAAAAAAAAAAAATGATTTCGAGGCAAATTCGAGCCTCAAATTCGAGGCCTGAATCATTAATCTTAAAATTTTGTTGAGACAAAAAAAATTGTAAAAAATTTTAAGGTGCAAGTGATAATGAGGGTGCAAATGAAAAACGGTATTGTTATATTTATTAATTAATGTACATATTAATATATTAATATGTCAATTAGTTTATATTATTACTAGCGTATGTTTATACTTGAAGGCACGGTATAAATAATATTAGGATTAGAATATATTTGTAATCTTAACACTATTTAAATTTATTTTTATATTTAATAAAAGCACAAATTTATTATAAATTTTGAAATTCTCACAAAATTCCTCACGAAAACTCGCTTTTACTTGTATAATTTATAGCTAGATAGATAGATGTATCTAATGTACATACAATTTCCACAGACATACATACAATATTGCTTTTGATTATATAATTATATGAAAATTGTATGTATGCCCATAATGTCCTAGTGTATTACGGGCATACATACAATTTATGGAAATATGAGTAAAATATATAAGGTGGAATCATAGGATCATACAATGATGGGTGAGAAAAAGAAAAAGTAAAAGTAAAAGAGAGAAGCGGGAAAGTACAAAATGTACATGTAGGATATTTTTTACAAAATATATCTTAGCCGTTGTTTTATAATTTGAATACATTTAAGCCGTCCAAATGTCCTAGTAGGACAAATGTGTGTAAGACAAATTCAAAAACCATCTTATTTTATTTTATAGACTAGTGTATGCCCGTGCCTAAAGGCACGGTGTAAATAATATTGAGATTAAAATGTAGTTGTAATTTGTACGTATCATATTAAAATTTGTAGAGTCTGTAGCACCTGATAAAAGTTCAAGTTAGCACTCCTACCATTAGTTTGTGGCTAACACCTAATACATTGGTGAGTGCCATAGTACCCCGAATCACAAATATCTGATTGAAATAATATAATACACAGAACATAAATACCATAACCTCACAAATAGTAGTCTTTAGAAATTGTTTACAAATTAAGATACAGAATTCAAATATTTTGAAATAATTTTCCAATCAAGATACGGAAAGCATTGAAAAACTAAATGCATCATATCATGAAGAAAAAATCAACTCTATGCCATAGCATCCCAACAATAAATGGTAAAAAAAATAATTCCTCCAACTCATCTAGTTTGTCAAATTAATGTGAAAATCATCAATTACATCAACTATAGAATACAAATTGTTGCTTTACAAAATAGTCGAATTAAAAAGATTTTACAGTCATTTAATAGCCATCAAGTATTGCTAGTATCAATACTTGAGAGAAAATGTATAGTAAGAAGAGTAAATTAAATAAGAAAAATTATAAATAGGTGATAACTTCACAAAATATTTAAAAACTCATTGATTTGTAATTTTCTCAATGAAATAAGAAGATGAGTAAAAAGAGCCCATATAACAATTTGGTGCAAATCTCCATCATCTTATGAAAATAAAAGAGAACATAATTTTATACAAAAATGGGAAAAAAAAAGTGTATACAAAGTAGTGACAACTGACATGTCCAAAGTAGTGACAACTTACATCTCCAAAGTAATAAATCAACTTACATGTCCAAAGTAATAACTCAATTATAAAAGATCAAGTCAGCACTCTTAAATCAAACTTAGCTATACTGGAAATGCAAAAATATAGGGGAATAAAAGGCTTCACAAAAATATTTGAAATGCAACAAAGTCCACATAGGCGGAAAGATTTACAAAAAGTGGGTCATAGCTATCGTCTGCTTTACAAAATGTATACACTTTACAAAAATATGTGTTTGATAATGTCTTCAAATTTGTTCTTTCCCACAATTCTTACGAACGTCTCATCAATTTATGAAAGGTCTTCATAACAAAACTTCAGGGTAAACAATATTTGTAGTGGAATCTGACTCATCATTAGGGAGGAGGATACTTATACGATCAAAAGATGTGCATCTTAAGAAAAATTATAAATAGGTGATAACTTCACAAAATATTTAAAAACTCATTGATTTGTAATTTTCTCAATGAAATAAGAAGATGAGTAAAAAGAGCCCATATAACAATTTGGTGCAAATCTCCATCATCTTATGAAAATAAAAGAGAACATAATTTTATACAAAAATGGGAAAAAAAAGTGTATACAAAGTAGTGACAACTGACATGTCCAAAGTAGTGACAACTTACATGTCCAAAGTAATAAATCAACTTACATGTCCAAAGTAATAACTCAATTATAAAAGATCAAGTCAGCACTCTTAAATCAAACTTAGCTATACTGGAAATGCAAAAATATAGGAGAATAAAAGGCTTCACAAAAATATTTGAAATGCAACAAAGTCCACATAGGTGGAAAGCTTTACAAAAAGTGGGTCATAGCTATCGTTTGCTTTACAAAATGTATATACTTTACAAAAATATGTGTTTGATAATGTCTTCAAATTTGTTCTTTCCCACAATTCTTACGAACACCTCATCAATTTCCGAAAGGTCTTCATAACAAAACTTCAGGATAAACAATATTTGTAGTGGAATCTGGCTCATCATTAGAGAGGAGGATACTTATACGATCGAAAGATGTGCATCTGGATAAGGGAAATGTTTGAGGGCCACAATTTTGTGGCCACAATGGCTCAAAACTGCCAAAACAACGTCGTTTTGGGTGCAAAACATGCCAAAACGACGTCGTTTTGACAGTTTTGAGCCATTGTGGCCACAAAAATTGTGGCCCTCTAGCATTGTTGTCTGGATAATACCACATATAGTTGCCCATGACTAAAAACAGATGTACGCAAATCAACCCCAACAAATTTCACAGATTGTCCTTAAGATTTGTTAATAGTCAAAGCGTATGCCAATCGAATTGGAAATTGACGTCTTGTCATTCGGAAAGGTATTTCTGCAGAAGACGGAGTCAATGATATCCTTGGTATAAATGCCAAATTGCCAAACTTCTCTCCAGTTAAGATTCGAGCTTCAATTATGCGAGTGTCGCACCTTGATGCCATCAATCTTGTGCCATTACACAGTCCATCTTTCGGTGCAATGTTTCTTAATAACATTATAGGACAACCCACTTTCAACTCTATCTTAAAAACTGGTAGGCCAGGAGGATCCAATGAATTTAAAAACTCATTAGGATATCTGTTTGTAATAGAAGGATCAATTTCATCATCTTCAGCCATCTTATCTGCAGCAAGATACGTATATATATTCCCTGGAAAAATATTGATAGCACTGACATCATCATTTCGTGCAGAAAGAATTGTACGCTCCGTTAAGAATGATGGAGTTGATGTACCTGCCACATCCAATTGTGGATAAATTGCTGAGAGTAATTCCTTTAGATCCTAGCATTTGTGTATTGTTGATGGAATTTTAATGATTTCTTGCGGATTGGTTCCAACCTAATAAATAAAATAAAATAAATTTAAAAAAATTATGTAATCAATGTATCCTCAAATGGTATAATCAAAGTTCGAATGAGTATTACCTCCGTCAATAATTTTGCAAAAATAGCATTTCCAAGGTTTGCATGATTCAAGCGCATATTCAAATCTAAAGATAAAACATGTAGATCCTTCCACAAAACAGAGTGTCTCAATGATGCATTCACAGTTTGCTCACGAACTCCTTTGGTTATAACTGGTAAGATTTGTCAAAAGTCTCTACCAAGAACAACAGTGATACCCCCAAATGGCTCTTCACAATCACAAATATCTCGAAGTGTGCGATCAACCACCTCAACACAATGTCTATGTTGCATAGGAACTTCATCTCAAATTATGAGTTTTGTTTCTCTATACAATTCAGCCTGTAATGATTGCTTGCTAAACCCACAAATTGAATTTTCCAAGACATCCAATGGAATGGAAAATGTTGAATGTGCAGTGCGACCTCCTACTAATAGCAATGATGCAATTCCAGATGAAGCCACGGTAACAACAATATAGCCAAGGCTACGACATTTTAATGCAATCGTATTGTACAAAAATGTTTTCCCCGTTCCGGCACCGCCATTCAAAAAGAAAATACTCCCTTTACTTTCAAAGACTGAAGAAGTGATTGCGTTATAAGCAGTTCGTTGTCCATTATTGAGGCGATCAATAGTAATTTGCACATCTGTCTGTTGTGCCTCATTATGTAGTTGTTGATGTTCGAATATCAATCGGTTACCAACTGTTGCACTCCAATTTGCTGTAGCTTGTGGCATGGGCGGGACGTCAATTAAACTCTTTCCTGATTCTTGAAGCATTTGATTCAAAAAATACAAACCATAATCTTCAATTTGAGCCTCAGTTGGGTTAGAAATGGCAAACAATGTATGAAGCTTATGTGCAAGATCATCATAGATATGCATTGAAAATTGATTCCATAACGCATGTGGTTGTAGTGGAAAACATTGGGTCATAATAATACAAAACAATCTCCTCAATTGATATCCGGTTTTCATAACTGCAACCTCTTTCAGGCACTGTATGCATTCTTCATCATCTTCTAAGAGTCCTCTTGCAACACATGCTGATTTAAACGTTTTATGCAAAACATTGTTAACTGTACGTAAACATTGAAACGATCTTGGCCCTTTGACAACAGTTAACAACAAACGCAGATAAAATCTTTCACCACAGTTAGGGCTAGCAAAGTACATTCTACCAATTGCATATCCATGTTCTCTTGGTTTCCATCTATGTTCTGACATGAGCCAAACAAAATGTTGTGGAAATTCTTGGTAAGTGAATTGGCATTCATTTTCATTGGAAGCACAATAATCAAAAAAACCAATAAGAGTCGATTTTTGTTGCGTATGCCCTAGAAAGAATCATTTCCAATGAGTCATTAGGATTGAAAAGAACACGATGCATTCCAGCATATCCATGTTCTCTTGGTTTCCATCTATGTTCTGACATGAGCCAAACAAAATGTTGTGGAAATTCTTGGTAAGTGAATTGGCATTCATTTTCATTGGAAGCACAATAATCAAAAAAACCAGTAAGAGTCGATTTTTGTTGCATATGCCCTAGAAAGAATCATTTCCAATGAGTTATTAGGATTGAAAAGAACACGATGCATTCCAGGTAGATGAAGTGCCAAGCGAACAACTGTTGGCATCTCTGTATGCAAATGATGACCGAATATTCGCCAAGCAGCTTCTGGTGGTCCAATATACCTCGCATCAAGATATTGTTGGATCTCATTAATCAATCCCAAAACCATTGTTGCGCGATCATAACCCTTGTAAATATACTTATGTATATACTTAACACATCTCACTCCAGTACAAACTTCTACATTTATATGACAGTTGAACCGTTTAGAAAGATATGCATTGTATGGTACCATATCCCTATTACCAACATCCTATCCTCTCACAGTATATACTTGACCACTATTGCGACGACGATAGATTGGATATCCATCTTGGTCCATAGTTGTTGATTCTACAAAGGCTCGAGGGTATCTCTTAGTGCATCTACCACTTTCCATACATGGTGCTTGGGGATTTCGAGCACCACATGGTCCATGTACCATGCAACACTTGACAGTTTCAAAAAGTGTAGGATCATCTTTTGGATCTGGAAATTCTGCACAAACTAATTTGTCTACTTGAGCACATGTTCGAATTTTGTCTGGACCTTTAAGAAAGAGAAGCGCATGCATATGTGGTAGGCCTCGTTTTTGGAATTCAATTGTAAAAACATATGCAACTTTATTACCGAACACTTTGTTTGTCTCTATCTCCTTCATCAAACACTTTCTTTTTAACTCAAAAACACGGGCAATCAAATCCGGACGATCAATAGCTTTTTGGTGTGGTAATAATGCTGAAGTAATTTCTGGCCAATTGGGATTTGCACTCTCATATAAAGATAAACAAATTATTTCTCTAGTGAGCGTCTAAAAATGGTCACACTTTAGAATTGAAATGCTATATATATTTTTTTGGATTTTTAATTTCACCCGGCATTATAGTTAGCTTGACTTTTTCGAGTTGTTCAATGAATAGCATTATAAAATTTTCTACAAAAGGTCTGTGTCGTGGTGACTAATATTTTTCCTTCAATTTGATCGTCTCTCATTCAACTCCTTACTATACGACTACAAGAGAGAGAGAGAGAGAGAGAGATGACAAACGGTGCCAGCAACTGAAGATGACTCCCACCCCACCTTATTCATGTCAAAAACAAATACTAATTAACCTTATTCATGTAATAATGGAGATTTGTCTCATGAAATTTAAGAAGTAATAGTATTACATGCACAAATTATTATATGAGTTAGTGTATTAATATAGGATGTTTTGAGAAAATGATTAAAAATTATTTTTTTTGATTTTTTTGTGAGAGATAAAAGTAAGTTAAAATTGAGAAATGACTACTTTTAATCCACCCGGATCTACAACTCTTCATCATCTTCAGAGAGAGATAGAGAAATATATTTTATACAAAAATGGGAAAAAAAAGTGTATACAAAGTAAGTGACAACTGACATGTCAAAGTAGTGACAACTTACATCTCGCAAGTAATAAATCAATAAACTTCATGTCCACAGTAAATAAGCTCAATTATAAAGATCAAGTCAGCACTCTTAAATCAAACTTAGCTATAACTGGAAATGCAAAAATATAGAGTAATAAAAGGCTTCACAAAAATATTTGAAATGCAACAAAGTCCTACATAGGTGGAAAGCTTTACAAAAAGTGGGTCATAGCTATCGTTTTGCTTTACAAAATGTATATACTTTAACAAAAATATGTGTTTGATAATGTCTTCAAATTTGTTCTTTCACAAATCTTACGAACACCTCATCAATTTCCGAAGGTCTTCATAACAGAAACTTCAGGAATAAAAAATATTTGTAGTGGAACTCTGGCTCAATATTAGTAGAGGAGGATACCTTATCGATCGACAAGATGTGCATCTGGCATAAGGGAATGTTTGAAGGGCCAACAATTTTGTGGCACAATGGCTTCAAAACTGCCAAAACAACGTTCGTTTTGGGTGCAAAAATGCCAAAACGACGTCATTGCTTTTGACAGTTTTGAGCCATTGTGGCCACAAAATTGTTGGCCCTCTAACCGCATTGTTGTCTAGGATAATACCACATATAGTTGCCCATGACTAAAACGATGTACGCAAATCAATCCCCAACAAATTTTCAACAGATTGTCCTTAATATTTGTTATAGTCAAAGCGTATGCCATCGATTTGGAAATTGACGTCTTGCTCATCGGAAAGGTATTTCTCGCAGAAGACAGAGTCAATGAATCTTGGTATAAATGCCAAATTGCAAACTTCTTCTCCAGTTAAGATTCGAGCTTCAATTATGCGAGTGTTCGCACCTTGATGCCATCAATCTTGTGCCATTACACAGTCCATCTTTCGGTGCAATGTTTCTCTTAATAACATTATAGGACAACCCACTTTCAACTCTCATCTTAAAAACGTGGTAGGTCCAGGAGTGATCCAATGAATTTAAAAACTCTTAGGATATCTGTTTGTAATAGAAGGATCAATTTCATCATCTTCAGCCATCTTATCTGCAGGCAAGATACGTATTATATTCCCTGGAAAATATTGATGCACTGACAATCATCATTTTCGTGCAGAAAGAATTGTACGCTCCGTTAAGAATGATGGAGTTGATGTACCTGCCACATCCAATTGGTGGATAAATTGCTGAGAGTAATTCCTTTAGATCCTAGCACTTTGTGTATTGTTGATGGAATTTTAATGATTTCTTGCGGATTGCTTCCAACGTAAATAAATAATAAAATAATTAAAAAATTATGTAATCATGTATCCTCAAATGGTAAATAATCAAAGTTCGAATGAGTATTACTCGACGTCAATAATTTTTTGCAAAATAGCATTTCCAAAGGTTTGCATGATTCAAGCGCATATTCAAATCTAAAGATAAACATGTAGATCCTTCCACAAAACAGAGTGCTCAATGAATGGCATTCACAGTTTGCTCACGAACTCCTTTGGTTATAACTGGTAAGATTTTGTCAAAAGTCTCTACCAAGAACAACAGTGATCCCCGCAAATGGCTCTTCAACATCACAATATTCGAAGTGGCGATCAACACTCTCAAACACAATGTCCTATGTTGCATAGGACTTCATCTAATTACATGAGTTTTGTTTCTCTATACAATTTCAGCCTGTAATGATTGCTTGCTAACCCACAAATTGAATTTTCCCAAGACATCCACATGGATGGAAATGTTGAATGTGCAGTGGCCGACTTCCTACATAGCAATGATGCAATTCTCAGATGAAGCCACCGTAAAAATCACAAAACAAAATTATTTAGCCCCCCCCCAAAAGGGCCCTTTATTTTTTTTAAAAACGAACATTTTAATGCAATCGTATTGTACAAAAATGTTTTCCCGTTCCGCAACCGCCATTCAAAAAGAAAATACTCCCTTTACTTTCAAAGACTGAGAAGTGATTGCGTTTATAAGCAGTTCGTTGTCCATTATTTGAGGCGATCAATAGTAATTGCACATCTGTCTGTTGTGCCTCATTATGTAAGTTGTTTCGATGTTCGAATATCAATCGGTTACCAACTGTTGAAACTCCAATTTGCTCGTGCTTGTGGCATGGGCGGACGTCTAATTAAACTCCTTTCCTGATTTCTTGAAGCATTGATTCAAAAATACAAAACCATAATCTTCAATTTGAGCCTCAGTTGAGGTTAGAAATGGCAAACATGTATGAATGCTTTATGTTGCAAGAATCATATAGATATGCATTGAAAATTGATTCCATAACGCATCGTGGTTGTAAGTGGGAAAACATTGGTTCATAATAATACAAAACAATCTCCTCAATTGATAATCCGGTGGTGTGTGGTGATAACTGGCAACCTCTTTCAGCACTGTATGCATTCTTTCATCAAATCTTCTAAGAAGTCCTCTTGCAACACATGCCTGATTTAACGTTTTATGCAAAACTTGTTAACTGTACGTAAACATTGACGATCTTGGCCTTGACAACAGTTAACAACAAACGTCAGATAAATCCTTTCACCAGACAAGGTTAGGGCTAGCAAAGTACATTCTAACCAATTGCATATCCATGTTTTGGTTTCCATCTTATGTTCTGACAATAGCCAAACAAAATGTTGTGGAAATCTTGGTAAGTGATTGGCATTCATTTTCATTGGACCAGCACAATATAAAAAACCAGTAAGAAGTCGATTTTTG